TATATCAAAACTATCGAAACTGACTTAAAGTTAACAAAAACATTTCTACTTTCTTACAATTGTTTTTTCTTTAGTAGGGCATGCATAGCATATAGAATGTTATTTAATGTCTGAATTACATGATTATTTTTAGCGAATATATCGCTAGTGTTGTAACAAAGTACTTTACACCTGGAGTAAGCTATAAACGTTATCTATTGACAGAAACAGTTTCATTGTATTCGAAAAATAAAACTAATCTTCTGCTGCAGATAACATTTTCATTTTAACTGAAGTAGGTTTCAGTCATTTTAACTTCAGTCATTTTAACTGAAGTAGGTTTTCAGTAGAACTGAAGTAGGGTTTTCAGCATAAGTGCTGGAAAACAATGTTGATAACAGTTGTCGAGATGAAAATACGCAAATCATTATCAAAACAAATACACACACAAGAAGCAATTGTCTTATTTCTCAAAGTCCAGAGGAAAAAAGATCTTGTTTTATGAAATATTTTTATATTTTATTTTGCGACCGAGCGATTGTGATTATTCTATAACTGTAGAGCAACGTTCATTATTTATTGGTAGTGTCTTTTCATATATATATATATATTCAAATTCCGAAATTATATAACAATACTAAGAAATTCCATTTATTTGCTTTTATTAAATCAATGATGAATGGTGCAATAATATTATTAGAAAGAGCTTTTTTAAACATTTAAGTATCATTCTGTGTAAATGTAACAGGTTTGTCAAAAACGTGTCAGTAAACAAAAACATTACATTAAATGTCACTTAAAAGCATTTGACAAATTTAAGTGAATTAATAAACGCACTAGACGTAGACTCAGCTGCAGTTTTTAATTATTAATGATGCATCACTACACAGCAAAGCATCTTCCCTAATTCATTCGAAATGCGTCTTAGATTTTAACTTTGGATGTACTTTTATTCGATTTAAAAAATAACAGATTTGAAACCCAAATAATCATAAAAACAGAATATTAAATTTGCTCACATACCGTTCAATAAATACATCATGTTTTAGTCGTTTAGCACTACATTAATATTAATTTTAAAACAAAAATGTAAATTAAAATAAAAATTTGAAAAATGTGGTATATTTAAATAAAAATTAGCGAGAAATAATTACTTTTCGTAGTATTAAAAAACGAAATAATTTTAAAAGTATTTGTATAACATTCATTCGTTATCTCACTTAGTTCTTTATATAGCTGAAAAATCCAGTTACTGAAGTTTCATTAAAAAGAAATTTTAACTTTGAAAACATATTCCTTAGATAAATATAATTAACGAGTTCCCCTAAATGTATTTGTTTTTGAAGAATTTTTAATGGATGGTAAACTATAAATATTTCTCCAACAGTTAGATACAGTACTTGAGAAAATTAACCCATTTAGGCTTACTTTGAAAGATTTTAAATCAGCAGTGAATTTCAGCTTTTCGTACAAAAATTTGGTTGTTTACGTCATAAAGTTTATGAAAGAAATGTTTAATGAACGATGTAATTTATTTGAATAAGCAATATAAAACGGTATAGATTTTTTTGTTTACACTTGTGGTATGGCGTATTTATTTAATTACGTCAAAATACTCGAGAGCTATCTGCGTAAGGGTAGAGATGCCTTCGTGGAGGATTTTCTAAGAAAAAATGACTGGCATACAGGTTACAGATGAGGAAACTCCTTAAACGTCCATGCAGCCAGCTCGATCACCGGGATTCGAACCCCGGATCGAACTGCCAGCGTTCAGAGATTTTTACCGCTCGGTCGCTGGTGCGTTTGTTTATATTAAATTGTTGCTAAATATTTCAGAGTATTTAACCAAAGAATTTAAATATTAATTGCTTTCTTGTCTTTTTCAGTCTTGAAATTAAGTATCTTTTAAACATTATGATCTCGCCGTCCAGATGATATAGTGGTTATGGGGAGCTTACTGGAATATCGAAGGGACCGGATTCGAATCCCGAAGAAGCCATGGCTGAAATTGTCCCTGCTTTCGGTAGGAGGTAACAGTGGTCCACCTTTTAGTTGCTTCCACAATAAAGTGGCCAAGCCTAAGTGGCTAAGTGCCCGCCAAATGGGGAAAAATATTTTATATCTCAACAAATGTATCATATATTTAGCCTTTAACTTAAATTTTGCTTTAATGTCAAGCCTAATTTTTAAAATTTGTTTTAGATAGAAATACAAATGCCGATGCTCAGCATTTAAATTAGTGTTTAATACAAAAATATCTGTTAATACAAAAATAGTTTATTAAAATCTAGAATTTTTATCACTGCTGTAAATGCTGTGTTGTAAAGTATTTACTCATATTTACCTAATCGTCAAACTTAATACCTGAATTTCTTAGAACTTTCGATTATATTCACTATACAAACGTTTGTATTTATAACAAAATGTTAATATAAGATGTAATTTGAAAGGCAGTTGAATGCCTGTTGAATTGATTAAAATCTTTAGATTTTGTTGTCATTTAAACTGAGCTTATTTTAATCAGCCGAAATCTAAATCTCTCTTGAATGTAAAATACTGAAAATCAAACGTGAATTTTTAAAACATTTTAAGAGTTAAAATATCCGAGATTGAAATTAAAAGAAATGTTTTATACTGTATGCGGATGAAAACGCACAGATGCATGTAAAATTTACCCAGTCTCGCAATTCTCTACCATGTTTTAGTAGTACATTACGATTTTGAACAAACGTATAAGAAACTAAAACTTCGCCAAAATGTCTGCTTTCACGAATTGAGTGCATTTTGGTTGGATTTATATTCCTAGTGCTTTCAGATTGTTAAAAGCGATGATGTCTTTGTAGCCATGCAGAAAATCCTATTCAAGTGTTCTCTTCTAAAGCATTTTCATTTAAATTTATTTACACTTAACACCCACTGAAGTAAAATCTGATTTTTAATAATTATATTTTGTCAGTTTTATAGTAACTTAAAGCCGTGAAAGATCAAATTATTCAAAGAGACAAACAGATTTTAACAGTTACCATTTATTTTGACAATTCTATGACTCGCTTCATTCTTATCAGCATTCCTTTAAAACCTTTTGAGAAAAAGTACTGAAATAGAAAGCATTAGCCCGAGTTTTAATATGTTCTGATTTCGATTGTTTTCATGCGTGTTTCATTAGCTTTAAATAATAAATTGTCTGCTACCAGTTTCAGTAAAATGTATTGTTGAACAATGAAACGCCATTTCGTTCTTATAAACAACTCTTTCATTCTCAACTAAAAATGATTTCCTTACTTTCTTTCGAGTCAATGAGTCACATGACTCGATTTTAGGGTTTAATAAAAACACGTATTTTATATATTTAGTGTTCTTTTAAAGATTTAAGAATATTTGTTAGAATCTTTGAATTTTATTAAAGTAACAAATTGCTTTATCACACACAGAAAGAAATACTGAAATTCGTATCTTAGACTTTTGTTGAAATGTAAATAAGCTCCTGACAAATATTACATCTTTATTTATCAATAATTATATCTCCTAATATTCTTATTACAGACAAATTTATAGACTATAAAGTATTTTAGCCCTATAGAGTAATAATAATTATGTTAATATATGATGTATCAAAAAGTTATACTTCAAGTCAGATCAAAAAACATTTCTACATCTGTTTTGAACCGTTGTACGTAGTTTGACTTGAACTTGATGCTGCATTTTCTTTAAACATTTATATCATTCCTTTGTTTAAATTTAATAGCGAGGATTTTAGATTTCTTACTTTAACCAGTTATAAGATCCAAGTTTCTTATTTTAGGTTTTATTTCTTTAAAAATCTCAAGACATTTTTGCATAATGTTCTATCACATGCAAAATTTACTTTCATATATGTTAGGATTAAGATTATAGAGTTGCTTCTTTAATCGATTAAGGCGAAGTAAATTAATATTATCTACTTAAAGGAAGGAACGTCTTCGGGAAGATCCCAACAACCGCCGAATAGTAAAATCGTTGAACACTGGTAGTTACTAACTAGGTTCGATTACAAGCGACCATACAGTATTATTCGGCGCTATACTACACAAAGAAAACCACGAAAACACTCGTGCAACTAGATATTTCGTATTCACGAATGGTTACACCACAGTATTCGGCGATCTTGTTCACTTGAGCTATGATAGGAGAAGGGTTTTTAGATGAAGGGGGAAAAACTGAATATTTGGACGTGATATACATTTATTATTATTATGTACATATAAAATTTACAGGTACTGGTAAAGATGTGAGATAGCAGGTGTTCGTATGCCTTCTTGGATGACTTTCTAAAGGAAACTGGATAGTATACATGCTACATATGGGGAAAACCGCAAAAACGCCCATGGAACTAGCCCGTTAGCGGAATTCGAAACTCAGACTAAACTACCAGTGTTCAGGGACTTTACTGCTCGGGGGCGGCATGAAGGTAGAAGAAATTCAACAATTCAGTGGACTTTTGTAGTTTATATGAAATATTTTAAATCTGAAGTATTCCGCCAAAAGATTAAATGAGCTTGTTAGAGAACGTTAAAACAATTTTAAGTCAACGAGGAATTAACATTAGAGCAAAAAGTTCAAAGTATGAATATATGCAAATAATTACAAGTTTTTTTTTTTCTTTAAGGGAGAGCGAGTTTCAAAAGCAGTCTGTTTTTCAAGTAGTTAAATCCATCTAAATAACCAGTAAAAGAGATTAGGCACATATATTCTAAATTATTACAGTAGTTCCATTCATGATAATTTTATGAATATCTATTGACATAACCAATAATTTTATATGACGATTTTTTAGAAAAATAAGTAGTTATAAGTATATTTTTAAACAATTTTTTTTAAATTATATTTTTCTATGGATGAAATATCAGGCTGAGATTTAGAAACTATATTAAGCGAAACATTATCTTGAAATATTTTTACTCAAGGCCCTTTTATGAGAAACATTTATAATATTTATAACACCTTAAAAGTCTTAGACATGAAAATTACATTAAATACCTTACCTTGTATTTTCTTCGATGCTCATTTTCATTTTATTATTAGTATCCTCCATTTTTCCAAGTATCCAAGAATCTATTATTAGTCTCTTAAACAGTATTCCTAAATTTCACAAGGAATACACAGTTTGTATAAATGAGCATATACCTATCTTAATCACTCATGTTTGGAGGTAAAGCGTCTGATGAAAATGGGAAAGATAGTAAAGTGTCACGACGTGAGATAACCTACAGCATGAAACAATAAGCTTTGTCTAAGAAAGATAATGATGCAGTCTTTTGGCGATCACAGTTAAGAGCAGTTATCTGTATAGATACAGTACGGAGAAAATTAATGATGCATGACAATTTAGGAAACGTTGAATGAAACTGCTTATTATCATAGATAAAATTCAAATTATCGGTATAGGATTCTTAAATTCTGGTTTAAAGATAATGTTTTTAAGAGACATGTTTTATAGTTTTTTGAATTTGTCAAGCACAGCATAAAATAAGTTTTTAAATAAACTTATAATTTTATTGCATTTTCATATGAGAACATAAATAAACGTTATTTACATTGATAACTAGTAAGTAACTAGTAAGCTAATTAATTTATTATGTATATTTGTAAGTGGACATTTATTAAATATAATGCATCTAATACTTGCAACTAGTTACATTGAATATCATAAAAATTTAAACATGGTTTCATTCATTGATTACGAAAATTTCGAAATTTTATCATAACGATTTATAACCGTTTCTTTGAAAGAGTGAAGCTGTTAAAAGCATAATAGTTAAACAGTTATTTCTCAACGATGGCGTTGATGCAAAGAAATAAATTTTTAGGTAACGGCAGTTGAAGACATTATTGCGAAATTATTTCTTAAAAATGTTAGTTAAGATATCTGCTGAGCTGTTTCGATCGATGTAGTGGTTAAGGCTGCTAGTTACTGTATGGTTATGTCCAGGCTCGAAACTCGGAGGAGGTATCGGTGATTGTAAGTCTAAAATGACTGTGTGACATGAGGCACTTTAAATTACTGGTAAACCGGAAGCCAGTTTGCTTGCTAAGTATCTTGTATCTGCCCTCTGAAGTTTTCTCAATAGAAACTAGGATGGAACTTTTCCGTTCTCGCGTGGAAGTAAAATCGGCCGCTCCCTGTTGTGTACCTTAAGCAATAGGCTAGGTGATGAAACGGCTAAATGACAGATGAGTGTCGAGAATTCCCGACGAATGCGTCAAATTTCAAATGTCCAACTATTTGAAACACCACCAACAACAGACTTCTATCTTTCATAATTGTTAAAATCATCAAATGATTGGCTATATTTACTGACAGGAATAATTTTATTCAGCTACCCTCTCAGAGTTTCACAAAACAATGCGCTATCAAATATACATATTCAAAAAGAAATAAAAAAGTTTTTTCAGTTTAACAGATAGCCTTCTAAAATGTCATGCCAAATGAAGCTTTTTATGTTTTGAATTGCACGATACCACAGCAGACAGTTACCAGAGCTGACCAATACTCCGAAATCAAGGTTCTCAATTTTACTTCTACATAACGCTTGATTTGGTTTATGTGGATTTTCTTTCCCCCACTTTTCGTGGGTGCAGTATCGGTGCTACCTAACTTGCCCCTTAGGCAACGCTCTGGGTGAGACGGAAAAATGGCGATTGAGTTTGGCCTTCCCGGAGAATATTTATGAAGCAAATCCCTACCAATTTGATAAAAATCGCTTTGCAATTAACATAACTTTAATGAATGATAATTAGCGGAATAAAATTAGATTAAAAAGTCATCATACAACACATAAATAAAAGTTATAAAAGCATATGAAATTTGTAGAAAGATATTACCAGGAAAAAAGCATCTGAAATATTCGACAAAATTATATGTTATTTGGTATCAAGAAAATCATTTATTATGATTTAACAAAATTTAAACCCGTTATGATTATCTGAAAATCAAATATGTACGAAAGTTTTATGTGTTGCCTCTGAATAACTTCATTCGTTCAATTTTTTCGACAAACTAAAACAGAAAGTTTACGGTCTGTTGAATAGATAACTAACATCTACTCTCATATTAATAAATATAATTTCCATAATAGCGTAAGTAATGAAAATACGTCATGCCAAAGACAGAAATTAGTTCTTCATATTTCATTAAAAGAATAATGAAAATAACTGCAAAGCAGGAAAAATTTCGGAAATTTAAAAAAGAAGAAGATTTATGGTAATATTATTTTCAGGCATTTAAACAAATGTTGAATTTTTATAAAATACTTGCAGATTCCTGTTTTTAATTTGCTTGTGTTAATTAAATGCGCAATAGTGAAAACGCTTTTTTCGCATAATTTTTGCATTCTTTGCCGCAAACATTCTTAACCAATAGTAAAGAAAATTATTTAATAAAATCATCTCTTTTAGAAAGTAATCTTTTGCGCCTTTTTTTCCCCTGCAAAGATATGAGAAACGAGACATATTATTTTTTTGGAAAAGAACATAATTGTATAAAATAAATAAATCTGCTTTCCTCTTTTGAATATTAGGAATAGATTTTTTGTTTGAATTATTAAAGAATTCCCATATAATTTAATTTAAATGTAGAATTTGTGTTTCCCTTGAATACATAGAGTTATGAAACAAACACAATTTTAATTGTGTGGCAAAATTTTTAACAAATTTGTAGAAACATTAGGTTTTTGGGAAGCAGTAAACTTGAAAAATATGCAATGCCCTCACTGGGAATCGAACCACAGACCTCTGGCACATGCGCCCAGCATGCAGACCTCTACACCACGAAGGCACGCCAAAAAGATGGGATAATACCTTATAAAGTAATGCATAATAATAATGAGAAAAAGATATATATAAACATTTGAAACGGTCTTCCGATTTTCCGGAATTCAAGTCTGCTCATTCAAGTCTGAAATACGGAACTTCCACTGATAGCTGGCAACGTTAACTGACAACAACACGCTCTGTAGAATTTGATAGAGCCTTACATTCTTTCTCTCTTAAGAGGACGGTTGGGAAGAAACACGAGACCTAGTCGACCAGATCTAGATAATGACTAGCTGTCGTCCAGAACATGCTTGTTTAGGCACCACCGCAATGACCGATAGGTTTTTTGATACCGAAAATTGAGAGAACTCTCGATTCTAAGATTACGTTTTTCCTCCCTTGCGCTTTCCTCCTCCCAAAAATTTTAGCACAAGTTTCCGAAATGTTTTAAGTATTAAAATTAATTTCCTTTTTCTTAAGACGTTTAGAAGACAGCTTCCATAAAATTTACAGCGAATTCGTCCACGTAGTGATAGGTTTTGTCTCGTTAATTTATTTGCTCGTGGAAGTTCAAGACATCGGCTCTGATTGATATAGACATAATAGTGAAAAATTAGAAGAAATCAAAGACATCTGATGTTCTTGATGGTTCAAGAGAAGTGGATGGTAATGAAGACGATGGCGAAAACTTGCAAGCTGTGGCAGACGACAACACACATAGCACTATTAGCAGCATTAAATGGTTTGAGTTCTAAAAATTAGCAGTTGCCAACAACAAAAGTATTCTAAATTCAAGATATAAGGAAGTAGAAATAAAAATATCTTATTGGATAGTGTAGGATTATAAAGTTCCTTACTTTAATTCTGTTAAATTAAGCATCGAGGAACCTGGTGAACTGCTAAGCAAATAACCGCTTAGTTCCAAGAACAGAAAACGTAAGCTCAAGAAGGGTTAAGTATCCTTTATTCAATCAGAATAACATTAATAAGCAGCCCCTTTCTTCGGGCATACAGCAAAGCCCCCACTTGGGCTTAAACTCAAAAGTAAGAAATAAGAACTAACTAATGACTATCTAAGAGACTTAGTCAAAGCTAACACAATTCTAAGGTAGTTGGCCCGTAATCTTAAATTAGCCAGCTGACTATCAAAAGGCACGTAATACGGCCGAGCGAAAACACAGCTTAGAAAGACGTAGCCCAAAAGCAAACGAGGGCTACTTACGAATCGTAACTCTGTCTCTCGAAGTCAGTTGAACTTTACATAAATACTATTCTCTTTCTCATTTGCATTAAATGCGATTCTAAAAACTCATTCTAGTAGGGAGTTGTAAGCGAGAAAAGACAGGAAGGGTTCACTAAATTAAAATAATTGTTATAAAATTAAAACATAACTTCAAATCTCAATATGCATTGTATTTTTACTGAAATGTACTTTTATGAAATAAATTATAAAGTAGTAGTGACCAGTAGTTTAGCCAAGAATACGTTTAATTTTTTTTTATAATTATTGTAACTGTGTCGATGGAAAATCAAATCATTCGTATAATTTCCATTTCTCAAAGTTTTTTTTTTTCCAATGGCAAATTTTGAACAGTCACAGTGTAACACAGTCCATTAATCTGTACAACGCCAGATGTGGTGGTCTCTTTATTATGGAGGCACCTAATAGTTGAGCCACCACCACTATTTGAAGGGACGGATAGTTACAACCATGCCTTCTCCGGGATTTTCCCTTCGGTATCGCACTCAAGCTTGCCGAAATCCATGTGATCATCTATAAAAATATAAATTCGCTAAGAATTATCTTAAATTAAGGCTTTGCGCCAGTACATTGGAAAAGATTCCAGAGTTGATTCTATTTGAGAAAAACTCTTTTCAAAATGAACTGCAGATAAAAATTATGTGGTGCTTAAAGTAAAAATATGTATCCATGTGATCATCTATAAAAATATAAAATATGTATCTATGTGATCATCTATAAAAATATAAATTCGCCACAGAAGTGGGCCACCCAGACGGTACCCTCTGGGTGGCCCACTTCTCGATATTTGTATGACAAAAACTAGCAAGGGGCAAAAGGAGGAAATACGTGATTAAATATGGTTTTAAAATATTATGGAAAATTACTTAAAGAGCATGTAACGTTTTTGAAAATCATTCAGAGAATTTATCAGAAGTAAGCACTTAGTTTATGATAATTTATAGAGTGTAAAAAATGTGTAAAACAAGAAACACTTTTTTCCCAATCTAGACATGTTTACAAAAGCAGACGTTTGACAACAGACTTCGAATGTGTTTTTCTTGTTAGGATAGAATTTTCCTTATTAAAATGCTTATTTGGTATTATCATTTTTCTTTTTGCAGTTAACTACTGGTAACAGGTTAATGTACACTGCAATAGGTTGAAACAATGAATAATCTTTGGAGC